CATTTTGTTGATGTTGCTGCATGACGATGTCTTTAAGAGGCATTTGTCCATAAAACAAAACAACAACACACGTTTAGACGACATTTTCCCCGAGATCGGGGGTTGCCGTTTGTCTACCTATGATGAAACCGAAATGCCCCTCGACGCCATTCTGCCGGATACTGAGGGCCATTGTCACTTCTGTCATCATAAGTAATTTATTTGGCTAATTTTTACGCAGGACGCCCTTCCCACAGTTATAAGCGGTGGCACTAGCCTTTGATGATCGAAACATCACTCACAAGGCAGTGAGGGTCAGTTTAATGTCATAACCAGGACAGTGTCATAACCAGGACAGTGTCATAACCAGGACAGTGTCATAACCAGGACAGTGTCCATATAAACATAAAACTTGTGAGACCAGCTTTACAACTCCTCTTCTGTGTAAACCGATCTTTCGCTATTTTTTGAAGTCCAGCCGCGTTGAAGTTACATTTCTGAAGTACGCTTTTCCCTTGATCCACGAATCGCTTCTTTGGCCGACCGACTGAACGACAGCCATTTGATGGTTTGCTGTTTAACAATCTATGAGGTAGACGAGACTCCGCCATAGGGATAATATGACCTATCTAGCGCAGCTTTTGTTTTAACAGTAGATATTCATCCGGTTTAGTACATGCAATCCTGAAATATCTGTTAAGGGTATTTTGTACCACAATTTTATTCCAAGAATGCTGCGATGATAGCGAACATGGAAGGCCTCAGGGCTTTGATGTGTCGACGACAATGAGCCCAGAACTCAAAACGATAAAGCAGTGCAAAAATACAAACCACTTTGTACACAAAAATTTTTGTCATCACGGTAAGATTGTAGTTTAAAAAGACGCGACTCCTCAGTCTACCAAATGCAGCCGACGCAACCCTAATGCGATGCACAATTTCACGATCCAGACAGCAGTCAGTACAGAGCATACTACCAAGATGCATTAATTCCTGCGAATCATTGAGAGCGTCTCCATGAACCACTATAAATGTAACTGGTTTGTTTTGATTTGTAGTGATGGAGAGTATCTCGGTTTTTGCATTGTTGACAACAAGTCCTGCACGACTACAAGCACTCGACAAAACATTAAGACTATTTTGGAGAGCGGAGATGGTATTGGCAGGAAAAGCAGCGCCGTCAGCGTATTGAAATTCGAAAATTTTATCGTGTGATACTTTGCTTTTCGCCTTGAGTCATTGTATGTCAAAGAGGCTACCGTCGAGACGGTAACGAAACAGGATGCCTGTTTCAGACGGAAATCCATCGCGATAGATGAGAACGGCGGCAGTGAGAAACAGATTAAAAATCACATCACCAGAACTCAGCCATGTTTTACTCCCACCAAAACATCAAACGGTTTAGATTCCATACCACCAACAATGACTTTAGCCCTCATACCTGTATGAAATTTACGCAGTACAGTCAGAAATTTTGGCGGGCAGCGAAATCTACCCAGGACAAACCTCAACAAGTCTCTGTTGACCAAATCAAAAGTCTTCGTCAGATCGAGGAAGGCTAGGAAAAGATCCTGGTTCTGTTTGCGGCACTTTTCATTCAAGAAGCGTACTGCAAAAATTATGCCGGTGGTGCTACGACCGCTTCGGAAGCCGCATTGCGAGTCTGGAATGACGACATCAATAATGTGTTTTCGAAATCGTTTCAACATGACATGCGCCAGCATCTTGCCAGCGGTGGAGAGCAAGAATGTGCAACGACTGTTACCACACGATTTTTCATCGTTCTACTTTTTTGTAGATGGTCACGATGTTTGCATCCTTCCATTGCTATAGTATTATACCAGTGGTCCACACTCGAGGAATGAAATTATGTTGCCGCAGACATAAACGGAAACCACCATATTTGTATATCTCGGCGGAATGCCGTCTGGTTCTGCCGTTTTTCATTTCCTAGGCAGCTGACAGAACCTCGTCAAGAGGAGGAGGGCTATGAAGCTCAGCAACAACCGAGAGTTCCAGGAGAGTTTCTATAAATGTCGGGTCCACCTGGTTGATGCAATTCAGCAAATCACTAAAGTGCTCGGCCCAGCGTGACACGGTTCCCTCAAGGTCTCTGATCACTGCAAGACCTTCTTTGCGTGTTTTTTGTATCCGCCAATCTCTGAAGTTTCCTAGAATTCCCCTGTTCAACAATCGTTTTCCATGTAACGCAGCACTTGCCGAACCTTTGTACGTGATTCTTTTCATGCAAGATTAAGACTGGGTGAGTTCGGATTGCTGAGCCTGTTTTTATAGGTTTTGTTCTTTATTTGTAAAGATCAAAAATGCCACGTCGATTCCCAACAAACCATTTTTGATTCGTTTTGCGGAAAACCCAAGAACCTTCGTAGCTGTTGACAGTATGCAGGAGCTGATTATTGACCATTCATCGGTTACTGAAGGTACACCAGTAGGTTGCTGAGATACAGTGAACAGCTGAGTTTGTTAAGTATGTTTGGAGAATTCTTCCTGAAGTTTTTCCTGCACTATCAGATTTTGGCAGGCTCTATTGTTCAGTTTTTTATCTGAATCCTGCCTACGAGTTGGTGGGGTTAGTTTAATTGCAAATTTAGATATGATCAGTCCAATACTCAGCGTCTCTCTCATAACTCTTGGTCTTGTGTGATTGACGTCAGTGACATCGCGTTATCTGGTTTAAAATGAGATGCCTGTAGCCTGGACAAACAAGATTACCGGGCTTTGCTGACCACAACCGAGCTCGATCAGGAACATCAGACACTGATTTCATCTTTTTTTTAGATAGTCTGGTGCATTTCCCGCAAAAAATTTCTGACCATGAGAACTATTTTAAATTCAATTTTTTTTTTGTAGATAACGGGTGAAGTTTTTTTTTTACATAGTTTGAAATGCTGTCGAATTTTGAATTTCCTGCAATTAATTTGGCTGCATAGTTCAGAAACGATTAAATGGACGCCAGATAACATTTGTTTACACCATACAAATCGGAGTTGCAAAGATCGATCTTTGAGCAAGCGAAACTATTCACTAAGTTCCTTGTCGATTTTTCTGTCGTTGCTTGCCTAGTTTAGAATGTCTATGATCGTTCCTTTTTTGGAAGAATCTAACCCCAGGATAACATTTGTGTAACTCCACAATTAATCACGTTTGTAATGTTTATTTTCAGTTCATTTGTTTAGAACTACCAAATGAGTTTTCCATGACGTTGCAAGTTTGCCAATGATACAACTACGTTGATTTTGAGGGCTTCAATTGTTGTTCATCATTTCTCTGCTATACATGCCTACATGCTTCTTAGACCGCAAGGGTGCTTTGGCCAATATTTTCATCTTGTGGTATAAAAATGATAACTTGGTTGAATTTAATCGCTATCAAAGTATACATCATCATCATCGTCGTCGTCGTCAGTGCTGTTGTATTTTTATATTATTGTTTTAGTGTTATTGTTTTCAAATTTACAATAATTATTTATATCGAAATATAAAAAATTGTTTTAAAATTTAAAACGAATTAATAATTTAAACCGTTTATAACATTTTAGAACAATTCGAGTAGAAACAAATAAAGGTTTGAAAGAGCATTACAGCACAACTAGCGTTCCGAATTATCTGCAAAAACAGACAACTTTACTTATTTATTTTGCGCAATTTATGGAAAATCATTTAATATCTGGTGGCAGTGTTCAGAATAGCAAGGTTGCTCTGTCTAATAGAAACATTTGCCCGTTTGATAAAAACGAAAAAGCAGTTTTCTTAAAACGTTGGTTTCGGACGGAAAAAGCAGTAGTTATGTATCTCACTGATGGAACTTTGCAAGTAATTCTTCAATTACTAATTTGTATTTCATGAATAATTTTATAATTTTATAAGTTAATTATATAGTTGTTCTTTAATAAATAAAATTGTTTGTTCCAATCTTTTAAAAGTTTTCATTATGTTTTCATTGAATCATTTTATAAATAATTTTCGATTTACTTTTTTCTAGATTAAAAACTTTGATGCCACATCCATACAGCATTTCAAATATTTTTCATGTCAAAAAATCTAATATCAATCACTCACAAAACTTAATAATATTAAAAATATTATTACTACTCGATCCTTGATCTGACAATTGATTTGTGTATTAACAAAAAACAAAATGAAGATAAATGACACAAATTAAAATCACGCGAAATCAAACCTAAATAACTGTTACATTTGTTTATACTATTATAAATATGTTTATGAAATGTCAAGTTCCTATCAAAAATTACATCCAAGTCATTTACTTCATCACAATAAATTAAATAACTTCTATCTATATGATATAAATTATTTTTAAAATCATTGTCATTCCCACTCCCATATCTAACAACCACACATTTTTGAATATTTAACTTCAATTGTCATTTG